TCTCTCCTTCTCTTATCCCCTACCCTTCCTTCCTCTCCTTTTCCCTTTCTTCCATTCCTCTCCCTCCCTCTCCTCTTCCTACCCTCTACTCCTCTCTCCTTTCTATCTTCTTTGCAGTGGAATATTCTCCTTGTTTGGTCATATATATGGACATATTTCCTATAGAAAAGGCAGTATTGAATATATTCAATCACCAGGCTGTTGTGCGAACCCAACCAATGTGTTTGATTTATGTTTTAATGTGAAATTAAATTATGTTATGCAAAGGCAGTCACTGAGAGTTCATCTCCAGGGTCTAACACTACCAGAAAAGACAGGTGTTCATCATGAATAAGAATGTCGTAAGAGTATAACTATAATAGTTAATGCTGTTGAAACAGATGCTGCAAGGGAATTCCTGATTGGGCTTGAATTTTATTACTGCATACACCACTTCTGGAATGAGTCCCTCTTGCCAGGGCTTTCAATGGAAGTGCCTCCAAACCAGTTCTCTTTTTCACTATGGAAAAAAAAATCCTCCTAAACTCTTATCACTATCATGGGCACATCTGTTACTCCTTTGGAATAAAAACTACTCCACCCTCAACCCCAAGCCACACACCACAATTGCTTGTGTCTAAATACTGTTGAGTCCATGGGAAACATATCTCTGCCTTTACCCTCATACATTTATTTCCCAGACTTTTCCCCTCGCACAAGCACACATACTAACATTCTAATTCAGGCTGTATTTGCACAACACATGTCCCTATGATCAATTGAATCAATTTTTTTATTCATTAATTTTCCTAAAGTTAAAGCTAACCAAGAATTGTTATAACCTTAAACACAAATCTCCATCTGCCTAAATCCATAATCAATTATTTCAAATTCTCACCCACCCCCAACAGCATATTTTAGGTAGGACCTATATTTGGCAGCTGTTAGTGTTAAACAATTGGTTAATAATAGTTTTGTGACACAGAAAATCTGTACAGGAAATGAATTCCTTTACCATCAAAGGAACAATCCAAACTTAGCTGCACAAAACAGTTTTATTTCATAGACTAATGTACTTCTAGCATGACCTATTGATAATTTTTCAAACTCTGTATGTTTGGTTCAGCATATCCCTCAACCTATGGGCATCTGTGACATATGACTGAAACTGCAAGTGGTAAACATGGCATTGCTGTCGCCTTTATAAGGGCTGACCGACTCTGATTCTCCTACCCAAACACCACTGTTTGCACCCAATTCCAAACATAGCTCCACTGCTACATATAGGTGTTATAATAATGTATAGGGTATGTGTACTGGACCACATATTAATGTATAGAATACAAAAGAATCAGAAGGAACCATGGAGGTCTTCTAGTCCAAACAGGAGACCCTATACCAGTGCTGGCAAACCTTTAACTTACTGAGTGCCAAACCAGAATGTGCTTTGCACCCCGCCCATGCTTGCGTGCCATCCGCGGTAATGCGTGGCTTCTCCCCACGTGCTGTGCGTGCAACTGTACCATCTGCACATGTGCAGTTTTACGCATGCGCACTAGCTCACACTGCACATGCAACTGCACCATATGCACATGTGCACAGCTTTTGTGTGCGCAGTGCATATGCACAAACGCTGTCTGCGCATGCGTGCACAATCTCACGCGCATGCACAAACACATGCGCATGCGTAGGAGAGCTCCAAAGACCAGCTGAGTCCCCTGAATTGCACGCATGCGCACCAGAGGCCTAAACACCAGCTGGGGCGCGCGCGCATATGCAGTTTCAGGTGAGCTTGGCGACGGCTCGTGTGCCCAGAAAAATGGCTCTGCCTGCTACTTCCTGCACGCATGCCATAGGTTCGCCAACATGGCCCTATACCATTCCTGAGAAATGTCTATCCAATCTCTTCTTAAAAGCTTTAAAGGAGCACCCACAACTTCTGAAAGCCAGTTGCTCCACTAATTGTTCTGTCAGGAAATTTCTCCTGAATAGAATAGAATAGAATAGAATAGAATAGAATAGAATAGAATAGAATAGAATAGAATAGAATAGAATAGAACAGAACAGAACAGAACAGAATAGAATATTTTATTGGCCAAATGAGATTGGACACACAAGGAATTTGTCTTGGTGCATATGCTCTCAGTGTACATAAAAGAAAAGATACGTTCATCACGAATCACACAGTCATAGGGTACAAATAAGCAATCGGGAAACAATATCAATATAAATCATAAGGAACAAACAACAGGTAATTCTAGGCTGGCTCTCTCCTTGATAAGTTTCCACCCAATACTTCTTGTCCTGCCCTCAGGTGCTTTGGAGAATACTTTGGAGAATAGATTGCCCCCCTCTTCTTTGTGACTGCCTGTCAAATATTGGAGGGCTGCTATCATGTTATCCCTAGCCCTTCTTTTTGTTAGACTAAACATGCTCAGTTCCTGCAACTGTTCATTGTATGTTTCAATCTCCAGCCCCACAATCATCTTTGTTGCTCTTTTCTGTACTCTTTCCAGAGTCTCAACATCTTTTTTTGTATCATGTTTTATTTAAAACATTTAGGTACATGAAGACAGGTATTTTCAAACCATGGGTTTATCTTCGTGTACAAAATTAATTATTTCTCTAAAGTTACAGCCAAGAAATATACATCTTGATTTTAATACTTTTTAATCCATATATCATAGTTCTGAATCTTTGCAGTACAATTGCCAATTGAGAACTTCAAAGATGTTTTTTTTTTTTCTTCAAAAGGCAACTGGACTGTTTTTCCTTGAGGAAGAAGAAAATATTTCTCTTCACATCCAAGCAGCTTTATCAGTCCTGATGAAGTTTATCAGTTCTTCCTAAACAAATAATGAAGCTTTTTGGATGAGAAGCGAAATGTTTTCTTCTACCTCAAGGAAAAAACAGTCCAATTTCCTTTTAGAAAAAAAAAGCATATTTGAGACAACTCGGACCTAGATGACTGAGAATCTCCACAGACATTTTGCCAACTGCACACTTGCAGGGTCAGGAGCAAAATCTAGAGCAGGTTTTGTTAACGTTTTCATTTTTCTGCAGAAGCCTAATTGGTTTTAAAAATTAAAAAAAAACTGCTCCCCACCACCTCCACCAATGTTTTTACAAGCCTTAAATGTTTCTGACCCATAATTTGAGAATTCCTGTATCAAGGCACAATTCCAGTGTTAAGTGTGTAGATGTGGATGATGTCCAGTGGATTTATGAGTTGTCATTTGAGAAGGCTAACTAAGATTCTATTTCAGTGTTGACCAAGCATTAAAAGTGGCCATAAAAAAATAGCATTTCTAAAAACCCAAACCCAAAGCTTTTTTTCGCCCTATAGATGAACTGTGATAGAACTCACTTTAGACAAAGCATTTCTTCTTGATCCTGGATGCACTATGGACAGTATACTACCTTTATTACCAGCAATCACGCATTTCAGTCCTGGTGAGAGAATCATACCTCAACTTCACAAAATGCATACAGGTAGTCCTCAACTTATAACCATTCATTTGAAGAGCGTTGGTGGCACAGCGGACTAAAATGCTGTTAAAGTAGCACTTAGCTGCCAGCTGCCTGCAATTACTGCGAATTCAAATCTTACCAGGCTCAAGGTTGACTCAGCCTTCCATCCTTCCGAGGTAGGTAAAATGAGGACCCGGATTGTGGGGGCAATAAGGTGACTTTGTATAGAAAGAACACCGCTTAGGGGGGGCCGAAAGCCCTACTAAGTAGGTATATACAAAAAGTATGAAGGCTATTGCTTAACGCATTGTAAGCCGCCCTGAGTCTCCGGAGAAGGGCGGCATATAAGTCGAACCAATAAATAAATAAATTTAGTGACCAAAGTTACAACAGTACTGAAAATGTGTCTTATGGACTGTTTTTCACACTTACAACTGTTGTGTGATCAAACTTCGGATACTTAAGCAAATGGTTCAAATTTATGACAGTTGCAGTGTCCTTGGGATCACCTTTTCTGACATTTTAACAAGCAATGTTGACGGGGAAGTCAGATTCACTTAACAACTGTGTGACTAACTGCAGTGATTCACTCAACAACTGTGCAAGAAAGATCATAAAATGGCACAAAACTAATATAACTGTTTTGCTTAGTAACAGATGTTTTTGGCTGAATTGTGGTCCTATGTCGAAGAATACCAGTGTTTGCGAACCTGGAGAACCTCCCTACCATATGCTCACCATCTAAGGCCAACCCTTGGCTTTACCTTAGGCAAGACTATTTAACAGATCAATATCTTATTCTGTATGTGTTCAGAAGGGGGAAAAACATTTGCATCTTATTGATTGACAAATTTTACAGCCACCAAAATTCCAATGTTGTAACAAACCTGCAAGTGTTGAACAGGTTCAGCAAAGGCGATACCTTTCTTAAGTATTCCTTCAGAAAGCATAACATCCTGGGTTACCTCTGCACTAGATCAGATGGATGCTGTGGCTTTAATTATTACATTAAGAATTCTACAGGTGAATTTCGGTACCTGTGTTAAGGTGTTCCAGGGGCAGAATGCTAGAATTGAAACTGGATAAATAAAACATGCTTTAACTCCAAATCTCATAAAAAGCCTATGCAATACACTACCATTTAATACATTGCAATCCCTACCTGCCTCACATTTTACGCCATAAGAGCCCCTCCCCTCCGCCTCTTTTCCTAAATTGGGAGCTATTCAGAACTCCTTTGTCTCGGCACCCAAAGGTCGTTATTCGTTTTATTCTATTTATGGCTCTCATCAGCAATTTTGGACAGGTAGCAGACCGAACACCAATAGGGGAAGCAATCGTCAATAGAGATAATGTGCATAAATGGGCTGGAAAAGGGAAAAAACAAGGAGCTTTATCTTTGCAAACCTTCCCTTTCTAATCCTGCAGCTGACCCAGCGATGTGATCCGCGGGCATGGAAACTTGTTCTTCCCGCGTTTCTTCTCCCTCGTTCACAGCCTCCTGTTCCGAGGAGCTTTTGCCCACCTTGTCCCGGTTCTGCCCTCCTTACCCGTTCCTGTGAATTCCCGACGTATCGGCTTCACCGTGGCACGAGGAGCCCAAATCCAGGCTCTCGGGCTATTTGCAAGCGTGGCCACGTTGCATCAGCCAGCCCTCAGGGCGGGAAGGGGCGAGGCGGAACCAGGCCCAATCCCCGCTCCTGCCTCGCGCTATGGGGAGGCGCGTCCTTTCCAGTCATATCAACGAAGCTCCTGTTTTTTAAAGGCGGAGGGGGAGACGATCCGGGTCCTACATTTGAAGTTTGCTAAGGGGCAGAAAGATGTAGAAACAGCTTCTGCCACTACAAGAATAAAGTAACAGAGTTGGAAGGGAACTTGGAGGACTTCTAGTCCAACCTCCTGCTCAGACAGGAAACCCTAATACCATCTCAGACAAATGGTTGTCTGATCTTTTCTTAAAAACTTCCAGTGTTGGAGCATACACAACTTTTGGAGGCAAGTCCTTCCACTGTTCTAACTGTCAGGAAATTTCTCCTTAGTTCTAGGTTGCTTCTCTTCTTGATTAGTTTCCGTCCATTGCTTCTTGTCCTGCCTTCAGGTGCTTTGGAGAATAGCTTGACTCCCTCTTCTTTGTGGCAAACATTAAGATATTGGAACACTGTTATGTCACCTCTAGCCCCTCTTTTCATTAAACTAGACATACCCAATTCCAGCAACTGTTCTTTTATGTTTTAGCCTCCAGTCCCCTAATCATCCTTGTTGCTCTTCTCTGCACTCTTTCTAGAGTCTCTACATCTTTTTTACATCGTGGCGACCAAAACTGGATTCAGTATTCCAAGTGTGGCCTTACCAGGGCATTATAAAGTGGTATTAACACTTTTTTTTTTTGCTTTAATTTATATGCTGCCCTTCTCCGGAGACTCAGGGCAGCTTACAATGCGTTAAGCAATAGCCTTCATACTTTTGTATATTTATACAAAGTCAGCTTATTACCCCCACAATCTGGGTCCTCATTTCACCTACCTTTGAAAGGATGGAAGGCTGAGTCAACCTTGAGCCTGGTGAGATTCGAACTTGCAGTAATTGCAAGCAGCAGATGTTAATAACAGTGCTTTAGTCCATTGTACTACAGGCTCCATGTGACTTCATGTGATCTTGATTCTAATTTATTTAACTAAGTCATTTCTTTTTGTCTTCTTGTCCTTTTTAATATATCAAAAGTATACAAAGTGGAAAAAAAGGAAAACTAATTTTAAAAAGAAACATGAATTTAGAAGAGCTGTTTCAAAATGTTCATGTAGCCCAGAGTTATTTATTACACAAAAAGTGGTCTTACCAAGTTGTTATAAAGTGGTGGATGTTGCTTGTAGTTTAGAGTGTAAAGGTGCTCCACTTATGACCACAATTGAGCCCAACATTTCTGTTGCTAAGTGAGACAGTTAAGTGAGTTTTGCTTTATTTTATGACTTTTCTTGCCATACTTGTTAAGTGAATCACTGCAGTTGTTCAAGTAATAACACAGTTATGTGAATCTGGCTTCCCCATTGACTCAGACTCATTGATTCAGAAGGTCGCAAAAGGTGATCAAATGATCCCAGGACATTTCAACTGCCATATATATGAATCAGTTGCCAAGCATCTGAATTTTGATCATGCGACCATAGGGATGCTGCAATGGTTGCACGTATGAAAAATGGTCAAAAGTCTCTTTCTTCAGTGCCGCTTTGCGCACTTTGTGTACTTTGTGTCCTATTCATGCTAACCTGCGTCTCCTCCCCGTGTGCTGCGCATGCAACCACACTGTCTGTGCACAGCGTTTGTGTGCACCCCCATGCACTGCACATGCAAGCACACCATCTGCACATGCACACGGCTTTTGTGCAGCTCCCCCATGCACTGTGTGTGCAATCACACCATCTGAGCATGCATGAAAGCACAGCATCTGCGCATGCACATGGTTTTCACGTGTGCAATGCACATGTGCGAATGCCATCTATGCATGCGTGCTGCATGCAAATATTGATGCGCAGGCGCAAATGTGCGCACCTGCACAGAAGAGCTCCGAAGACCAACTGTGTCCCCTGAACTGTGAGCATGCACACTGGAGGCCTGAACACCAGCTGGGGCGCGCGCATGCTCAGCTGCAGGTGAGTTGGATGACAGTTCGTGTGCCCGGAAAGATGGCTCTGCGTGCCACCTTGGCCCTGCATGCCATCACGGGATTAGAGGATATGAAAGGCTACCAGATCTGGGCTGCAAACAACTTGACAAACACTAGATCCGGCCCACGGGGTGCTTAAATGTGGCCCATGGGGCTGAAAACGCCCCCCGGCGACCTATGTTCGGCCGTCAGGCTGCTCTAGGGGCCGAAAATGGCCTGCACATGCCCCCTCCCCCATGGCCCATTTTGGCCAGCAGAGGCACTGTGGGCCTGTCCTTTGTTATTTCCAGGCTGGCCCCACGGGCCACATTTAAGCATCCCGTGGGCCGGATCCAGCCCACGGGCCTTGAGTTTGGCACCCCTGATGTAGTGAGTCACAAGGTAGCGAACACCAAGAAGTTCTAACTTCTGCGTTGAGTACCAACAAAAGATGAGAACCAGGACAAAATTTTCACATCTAAATGTGTTGAGTACCAAATTCGATGAGTTTTAAAGCAGTTGAGTACTAAGGTACCATTGTAATTAATGGCCTCTGCACAGTCAGATGATTCATTCAACTACAGGCATCTGTTTTCTCAGAGGCTTTTTTTAAAACATAGATGAAAGAAAATGAGAAAGGGGAAGCAGAAAAAAAAGAGGAAAAGAAATATACTATTTTGAAAGTAGTGGAAGTGAAAAATCAGCACTTCCTAGTATGAAACTAACAATGGAATCCAACTGTCATTGTATATATCGTGGTACTATATTAAGGAAAATTATTTCATTCATACATTTTGTTAGTATAACATTAGGAAGCCGGGAAAAAAAATATTTTTTTCCCAAATTTCCTTATAAGGAGAATTAGGTTTACGAGGCAAATTTCTTGGTAATTGAATCACATTTATAAAATTAACTGAGTTAGCTAGGTATGCACAACCCAACTGAGTTAGTTGGGTTAACAATATGTAAGAAATGATCAGGCTAAGACACAGGGAGGGGTTAAATGCGTCATTAGTTTGGAGACCCTTCAATCCCACAAGAGATTAATGTCCAGCCTTCCTTGATTCCATTGACTCTTATCTACTGGCAATTTGCTTTGACTGTTAGTAGTTCAGATTAAACCTGTACTCATTTGAACAACCTTGGTTCTTGATTTCTTGTACCTGACACAGTAGTTAGGTTAATGTGTTGCAAAAACCTGATGATTAAAAAAATTATATAAAGTATGAACTATATCATAATGAATATAGCCAATTGTAGCTAACTGAAAGCCATTATTTAAAAAATAGGCGGCCCAGTTCCTGAGCTGTTGCACATAAGAATCAAAGATAAAAAATAACTTTTTTAATTTGTAAGATACTAATGCTAACATCCATTTGACACTAATAAATCAAATAAAAAATATTAAACTTGTATGCCACCTGACTCTTAACAATTCTGGGCAGCTCACAACAATCCAAAAAAAGTACAATAAAATCACTGAAGATGTACTGATTATGTTACCTAGTTTGGTGATGAAACGTCTGCAGTAAACCTACCAAGTTCAGAGTGCACCAATAAATACAATAAAATCAGTAAAACATTTTATGTTTAAGTTGTAAATGTTACAGTGCATTGTAAACCAAACAAATCCCCTTATGATTCAGGATAGGATTGAGCAATCTTTCACCGAGGTGGGAGGCTATACTTCCTCTTTCTGTCTTGCTTAGAGGTCAGATGAGGCATGAATTTGTGACCCTGGAATGTGGAAATGTGGAAAACTCCAGTTTTTAAAATTCCTTTTTTAGCATGGGGAACAATTTAAGGGGACAACTTTATGTACAACATATGGTCTCTATTCTGCATCCAGCCCTATGAGTAGGCCATGTTGAGTCCAAAGTCACCCCAATGATTGAGGATGGACTGAAAACCCAAGTCTTGCCATTCCGAATCCAGTGACAACACTCACTCATTTTGCCTGTTACTTTATTCTGTATGTACCATCATACTGGACATTCTTTTAACTAAACTAAATCAGCTAGTAGTACCTGAACACACTTGTAAATGGATCACAAGCTTCCTATCAGACAGGAAGCAGCAAGTGAAGCTAAGCAGAATCACATCAGATACCTGTACAATTAGCACAGGGCCCCCCCAAGGATGTGTGCTTTCTCCACTTCTCTCTTTATACCAATGACTGCATCTCAAACGATCCATCTATTAAACTACTGAAGTTTGCAGATGATACAACAGTAATTGGTCTCATTCGAGACAACGATGAATCCGCATACAGACGGGAGGTTGAACAACTAGCCTTGTGGTGTGACCGGAACAATCGAACTGAACACATTCAAAACCGTAGAAATGGTGGTAGACTTTAGGAGAAACCCATACTACCACCTCTTACAATACTAGACAACACAGTATCAACAGTAGAGACCTTCAAGTTTCTAGGTTCTATCATATCTCAAGACCTAAAATGGACACCTAACATCAAAAATGTCATAAAAAAAGCACAACAAATAATGTTCTTTCTGCGCCAACTCAGGAAGCTCAAACTGCCCAAGGAGCTGTTGATACAGTTCTACAGAGGAACTATTGAGTCTGTCATCTGCACCCCCTATAACTGTCTGGTTCGGTTCTGCAACCCAACAAGACAGACACAGACTTCAAAGGATAATTAGAACTGCAGAAAAAACAATTACTATTAACCTGCCTTCCACTGAGGACCTGTATACTGCACGAGTGAAAAAGAGGGCTGTGAAAATATTTACAGACCCCTCACATCCTGGACATAAACTGTTTTAACTCCTACCCTCAAAATGACGCTGTAGAGCACTGCACGCCAGAACAACTAGACACAAGAACAGTTTTTTTCCCAAACACCATCACTGCTAAACAAATAATTCCCTCAAACTGTCAAACTATTTACTAAGGCTGCATTACTATTGCTATTGGTCTTCTCATTGTTCCTGTCACCCATCTTCTCCCTCTTGTGACTGTATGACCGTAAGCTGTTGCTTATTTTGTTGTTGTTAGTCGGG